AAGTCCTTGAGGATCGATACTTGGATACTCCATCCATTTTATATTACACTGACAGGTGTGCGCTTGCATCTATAGAATTGTTACCACGCTTAGTGCGTGCGTTCAGCATAACCACCAGTCAAGTTTTTGGCGCCGTTGCCAGGGACTTTAGTTTTAAAATTATTTTCAAATTCTTTTAGTTTTTATTTTTGTGAATYGTTGTTGGGTGTAATTTCCATCCACCGTTTTTGTTCTATATTTTTGGTCGTTTATCTCACAAGGGTAAGTTAAAATGCATGAGCACAAGATCTTTTCTTCTACCCCTTGACCTTGAGATTGAGCGGACCCTTCGAAAAACTCGAAARGAGCRAAGACTTCGAAAACAACTAGAAAAGCAAAAAGAGAGAGRAGRTGAAATCAGTCCTGAAAGTGAGGTAGAGAGTACGAGCACATCAATGGCAGATATTCCACCTCGTGATCCGGTTGATCCACCTGCTGTWAACGGTAATATGAGGGATCATGCAAKAAATGATGAATTCAACCATATCCAGATGGCGGACAACAGAGACGTGGCAATGCGAGAATATGCCGCCACGGCTTTTCAGAACTTTGATTCAGGGATAGTCAACCCTATTCTAGCCCACGCAAACTTTGAGCTTAAACCAATGATGTTCCAAATGTTGCAGACAATTGGACATTTTGGAGGGCAGGAACATGAGGATCCACATGATCATCTGAAATCATTCATTCAAATTGCAAATGCATTTCGATTACCTGGTATAACAGACGATGCTCTKMRACTAACACTTTTTCCAYTTTCTTTGAAGGACCAAGCTAGAGCATGGCTCAATTCATTTCCACCGGGATCCATCACCACATGGGGGTCGTTAGTGGAAAAGTTCTTAACAAAATTCTTCCCACCCACTCACCACGCTTATATCAGAGAGGAGATCATCTCCTTTAGACAGTATGATCGTGAACCTGTTCACAAGGCGTGGGAAAGATTTAAAGAACTAATCAGGAAATGTCYGAACCATGGCTTGCCGGCATGCATCCAGATAGAACATTTCTTTARAGGTTTAGATMATCCTACTAAGATGATGCTAAACAATGCTGCCAACGGAGCCTTTACAAAGAAGACATTCAACGAGATAGTCGACATCCTAAATGACTTAGCTTCACACAATGAACTATGGTGTTCGCAAAGATCTAGGGCAGCACCAAAGAAGCAAGATCCAGCTGGAGTTTTGGCTCTGGACATTGCAACCTCGATGTAAAAAGAGATGGTTACAATGAACCAGAGGCTGAAAGAGATGGCGTTGGGAATAAAAAATTGATTAGCCACGCCGATACAACCTGTGCAGTCGTATTATTGCACTCCTGCCCCTGTTTGCCAAGTCAACGATCTCATTTGTTCATTTTGCAGTGAAAACCATATTTATGATAATTGTCCACATAAACCTGCTTCCGTTTTTTATGTAGGACATGGGAACAATAGGAACTTTAACCCATATTCGAACACCTACAACCCAGGTTGGAGGCACCACCCTAATTTCTCATGGGGAGGTCAAGGAGGTTCGAGCGGTTTTAATCAAGGGCAGAGCCAGCAGAACAAGCAGCCCTATGTTCCACCTACACAGCAATACATCTCCCCCGCAACAGCAGTACAATCAGAGAACACAGACTCCACCAGTTCAAAATAACAACTCAAATCTTGAGAATATGATGAAGGAGTACATGGCCCGAACCCACGCAGTGATAGAATCCCAAGCGGCATCAATGAGGAATTTCGAGACCCAATTGGGACAGCTCGCCAATGAATTGAAGAATAGACCACAAGGTTCTTTTCCAGGCCATACTGAATTACCAAAACGAGAAGGGAAAGAACAGTGCAAAGCTGTCACCCTTAGGAGTGGACTGGCATATGATGGACCAACAATGCCAACAACAGATGTACAGATTCCGTCCACTGAACCAACTGTAAAKATACCAGAGAATCCAACAACACCAGAAAAAGAAAATATTAGAAAAGGTAATGAGGACACCCCGAGTGTTCCTCCACAGGTACAACCTTCTTTTACCCCTACTCCCCCGTTTCCACAAAGATTAGTTAAGAAAAATAATGATTCCCAGTTTAGAAAATTTTTAGATATTTTAAAATAATTGCATATAAATATACCATTAGTAGATGCTCTAGAACAGATGCCAAATTATACTAAGTTTTTGAAAGATATAGTTTCTAGGAAGAAAAAGATAGGAGAGCATGAACTGGTAGCCATGACAAAATGTAGTAGTGCAGCTGTAGGTAGCCCGCTACCCATGAAGTGTAACGATCCTGGCAGTTTTACCATTCCATATTCCATAGGAGGGAAAAACTTAGGTAGGGCATTATGTGATCTAGGCGCTAGCATTAATCTTATGCCATTATCAGTTTTCAAATCTTTAGGCATAGGAGAAGCTAGACCTACTACGGTTACCCTCCAACTAGCAGATAGATCTATCATAAGACCTGAGGGAAAGATAGAAGATGTTTTAGTCCAGGTGGACAAATTCATTTTCCCTGCGGACTTTATCATTCTAGATTGCGAGGYAGACTTAGACGTTCCCATTATTTTAGGAAGACCATTTCTAGCCACTGGGGATACAGTTTTTAATGTGAGGAAGGGAGAAATTACAATGAGGGTAAATAATGAAGAAGTTAAATTTAACGTTCTAGACGCCATGAAATTACCAGGAGACTTTGAAGAGTGCTCTGCTATAAATAGCTTGAATCCTGTTATATTTGATGAGTTTTATGACTTGTTAGTTACAGAGATTGAAGAAGAGCTTGATAAGATAGCAGAAGGACCGGAAGATGTGACTGATCCTGTTGAAAAAATACAAAAAGAAGAATGCAAGTCGTTACTTCCGTCCATCGTGGAACCACCCACTTTGGAGCAGAAGCCATTGCCGTCGCATTTGAAATATGCGTATCTAGGGGATAAYGACACTTTACCAGTTATTWTARCTTCCAATTTATCACCTACTAATGAATATTCTTTATTGCAGATTTTGGAGAAGCACAAAAAGGCCATTGGATGGACGATAGCAGATATCCGAGGGATAAGCCCGGCCTTTTGCATGCACAAAATCTTATTGGAAGAAGATGCTAAGAACTCTATTGAAAGTCAAAGGCGGTTGAACCCGAAGATGAAAGAGGTTGTAAGGAAAGAAATTCTTAAATGGCTTGACGCCGGTGTTATATACCCAATATCCGACAGCAGCTGGGTAAGCCCAGTACAGTGTGTACCAAAGAAAGGGGGTATAACCGTGGTGGCCAACGAGGAGAATGAGCTCATCTCAACCCGAACTGTGAGTGGGTGGAGAGTTTGCATTGACTATCGCAAASTCAACAAGGTAACGAAGAAAGACCATTTTCCTCTACCGTTTATTGACCAGATGCTCGACCGTCTGGCAGGTAAGGATTTCTATTGTTTCTTAGATGGATATTCGGGTTWTAATAAAATTACTATTGCTCCAGAAGACCAGGAGAAGACAACATTTACGTGTCCGTATGGTACGTTCGCTTTCAGGCGAATGCCCTTTGGATTATGCAATGCACCCGCGACTTTTCAGAGGTGTATGATGGCCATATTTTCTGACATGGTAGAAAATATTCTAGAAGTTTTTATGGATGACTTTTCTGTTTTTGGAAATTCTTTTGACGCATGTTTAGTTAATTTGGAGAGAGTATTGGAGAGATGTGAACAAACAAACCTAGTCCTAAATTGGGAAAAGTGTCATTTCATGGTACAAGAGGGTATTGTTTTGGGTCACAAAATTTCCAAGCAAGGAATAGAGGTAGACCACGCTAAGATAGACATCATTTCAAAGCTACCTCCTCCCACGAATGTTAAAGGGAAAGTTTTTTAGGGCATGGGGGATTTTACCGCCGCTTTATAAAAGACTTTGCTAAAATTTCTAAACCCTTGTGTCAATTGTTAGAACATGATAGACCATTTGTTTTTTATGATGACTGTTTAAAATCATTTGAAATGTTGAAAGTTGCTTTAAGTTCAGCCCCTATAATTATCGAACCTAATTGGGATTTACCTTTYGAGCTCATGTGTGATGCYAGTGATTATGCAATAGGAGCTATGTTAGGACAACGTAAAAACAAGATCTTGCATCCTGTGTATTATGCTAGTAAGACTCTGACCGGTGCACAACTCAACTACACTACTACTGAAAAGGAACTGTTAGCAATTGTGTTCACCTTTGATAAGTTTAGGTCTACTTGATAGGCACAAAAGTCATTGTTTTTACTGACCATTCTGCTTTAAAATATTTATTTGCTAAAAAAGATGCGAAACCACGTTTGATACGGTGGATTTTGTTACTTCAAGAGTTTGATATTGAAGTTAGGGACAGGAAGGGTACTGAAAACCAAGTTGCTGATCACCTGTCTAGATTGGAATCCCCGCTCTGTGATGATGGAACTGTTATACGTGAACAGTTTATTGACGAGCAACTCTTGCGAGTTGATTCAGTTCCATGGTATGCCGATATAACAAATTATTTGGTAAGTCGAGTAGTTCCTTATGAGTTTAACAAGCAACAGGTAAAGAAACTTCTAAATGAAGTTCGATTTTATCGTTGGGATGAACCTTTTTTATATAAGCTAGGACCTGACAATATCTTACGCAGGTGTGTAGCAGAAGAAGAGCACGAGGCGATATTAGACGCTTGTCATATGTCTCCATATGGAGGACATTTTGCAGGACACAAAACCGCAGCCAAAGTTTTGCAAAGTGKGTTCTTTTGGCCCACTCTGTTCAAAGATGCACATAAGTTTGCCCAGGTTTGTGRCAAATGCCAACGAACAGGTAATATATCTAAACGCCACGAAATGCCTCAAACCCCGATCCTGGAGATTGAAATATTTGATGTGTGGGGTATAGATTTTATGGGTCCATTTCCATCTTCTAATGGTAGGCTTTATATATTGTTAGCAGTAGATTATGTTTTGAAATGGATAGAAGCCATTGCAACTGCTACCAATGATTCTAAAGTTGTCATTCGTTTTTTGCAAAAGCACATTTTTACGCATTATGGAACCCCACGTTGTCTGATAAGCGATGGAGGGGCTCATTTTATGAATAGGTCTATGCAAAAGTTGCTGGCTAAATACAATGTGCGTCATAGGGTTGCAACAACATATCATCCTCAGTCGAATGGGTTAGCCGAAATATCTAATAGGGAGATAAAAAACATTTTAGAAAAAACTGTAAATCTTAACCGTAGGGATTGGTCTTTGAAGCTTGATGATTCACTTTGGGCATATAGGACAGCATTTAAGACTCCCCTCGGCATGTCCCCSTATAGGCTAGTYTTTGKAAAAGCATGTCATTTGCCTCTTGAGCTAGAATATAAAGCATTTTGGGCTACTAAGAAATTAAATTTTGATTTGTCGGCTGCAGGTRAAGCGAGGACGTTACAATTGTTGGAATTAGAARAACACAGGCAATTTKCTTATGAGAATGCTAAGYTGTTTAAGGAAAAAACTAAACAGTGGCATGATAGGCATCTTCGACCGAACAATCTTCAAGAAGGTGATCTGGTTCTGTTATTCAATTCTAGGTTGAAACTTTTTCCTGGGAAACTTAAGTCTAGATGGTCTGGTCCCTTTAAAATTTTTAAAGTCTACCCATATGGGCAGTGGATCTAGTTGACTCCAAGGGAAGTATTTTTAAAGTAAATGGGCAGAGACTTAAGCCTTATTTTGGAGAACCAGTGGATAGAGGAAAAACCTCTATTCAACTTTCAGGTCAATAAATGTTTGCAAAAAATATTTTTCCTTCTTATCCATTTTTGAAAGAACAAAAGTAGAGGAAGGAAGTCTTTGTATCTTACATTTTTTTTGTTTAATCATAAAAATTTTTGCTTATTAAGAGGATGTTTTTGAAAACGTTAAAAAAAAAGAAAGAAAGAGAAAACAAAAACGTTGAAAAAAAAAAATAATTACGCAGGCGCCTGGCGCTTGCCCTGTTTTCCCAGCGTTTCGATTTTGTTTTTTTATCTTCTTTCTTCTCTTCTTCATTCGTGATTTGGGTTTCATTTTTCGACTTTTATGGGTTTTATTTTGGGTCAAATTTTAATCCTTTGTGATTTAAGTTTCAAATTTCTCCTTAAACTCAAAAATACTTCAATTCTTGTTTCCCTAATCCTATTTGGAATTCAAACTTATTTTTTCCTTTTAGGTTTAGGAAACCTAGTTGAACTTAAATCTCAATCCCTTTCCATTTAGGATTTAGTTTGGGGAAAGCTTTAAATAGACTCATTGCCTAAGCCTTGCACCTCCACCAAAACCCACACAACTCTCTTCCTCCCCTTTGTTTTTCGAAAAACCCGCTCCCTTCTCCACCATTGTTTTAGATTTTCGGCCACAACCAAGAAGAAGCAGAAATTTCTAGCCTTTATTTCTTTCTATGGCTTCTTCTTCTCAACACACTTCACTCCCTACTTCTCCTTCCCAAGCTCCTACACAACCTCCTATGATGGGTCCACATGGTTATGTAAATTTTTTAGCAGCTACCCACCCTTAATATACCTCAAAACAGTGAGTTTAGGGCGGAAAATCCTCAACAATTTCCTCTAATGATCAATCCGGGTATGTACCAACCATTTATGTTTAACCCGGTTCCTTCCTATCATTTTCCCTTGTCCCAAATGTAAATTCCAGCTAGTGTTCATCCTTATGGAATGCCCAACCCATCTACCCTATTTCCTAGCCTTCCACCTTATTATGGAATGGGTCATTGGGTACCTCCACACAATTATGGGATGATTTCACCTAGGGTTCCCCYACCACCTCAACTTCCATTCCTAGAAAGAGGACCTCAAGCACCMCAATTGAACCCTAACATATTGAGTACCTTCAACMTGGGACACCTAAAACCCKTAGAGCCTCCTAKGATGCCAATCCCAACCAATATGYCAATGGATRCAAGAGTTGAGCATGGAGGAGAGYAAGAGAAGAGCCATRGCCARAGGCTAGAGCCYGKGGTYTCGATAGGGCAAAAGAGGAAGGGCAAGGAGGTGATGACGGACCCAGAAATTGCGGAWGATGGGAGTAGTAGGCGTCTGACGCCTAAGGATTCATCTATGGAGAACAGGGATGAGGAGCAGTTTTATTCATCTCCATTGATTATTACACCGGGAGATGGTAATGATGATTTTCTAYTGGTTTCACGAGGCAATTGTTCAAATATGCCGGAAACAGAGGATACCGAGAACGAAGTGGTGAGAACAGATACTCAGGAACCTTCCCCATTGGATACACCTAYAGAAGGAGCATTTTGTAGTCACCAAGCGTTGCCTACTGGGGCAACTGGATCTACTCCGTTGGCAACRRATGAGTATRTCACACYGATGGCCACTCTACCAGGGGTAAGGGATGCTCACRCTATTCCTTCTAATGCAGTTAACCCRCTTKAGTGTGAKACAGGTAGATMCAAGGTTGGRGARAATAGTACTCAAGAAYCTAYCAGAGAAGAAGATCCTGAGGACACGCAGACGATAAGGGAAATGTTYCAATACAAGAGGCGGGAGAMAAAGAGTTCAAAACGTCGTGCAGTTCAGRCTAAKAAGCCGACAGTGCCCATGAATGAACCTAAAACGAGAGCTGCGAAAGCTAAAGCAGCTGAAGCTAAAAAGAAGGTAGTGGCACCTGGGCCAGTTGATCCAATCGAACTAGACTTATCTGAGGGCGAGAAGGTCGAGACGACATGGAACGCGGCGAATTTAGCCACTCGAACTTCATTAATGAAATTCCATAAGATTATGACAGAATTGGGATTCGACCTCACTCTAGGAGATGTGCCTGATGATTGGAGGGACACCGCTAGAGCTAAAGAATGGAGACCACTCATTCAGCCCATACAATGTGAGGCTTTGGAGTTAGTCAGAGAGTTCTACGCTGCTGACCATCCCCAGTCACATATAGCCATAGTGCGTGGGAAGGAAATAAGGTTTGATGCCACTCAGATCAACTACACCTTCAACATTAAGAATATCAAAGATGCTGTGGGAAATAAGATGTTAGTGACTCCGACTCTAGAATAGCTCGGTGAGGCTCTAAAATGTGTTGGTAAGCCCTCTGCCACTTGGGATTTGACTACTCATGGCAAGGTACGACTAAAACCCGAGGATGTTTCACTAGCTGCTGCAGGATGGTTATATATAGTCAAAAACAGAATTCTGCCAACGGAGCATGATGAGCATGTCACTCAGGATAGGGCCCTGCTGGTTTATGCCATGCTAAAGGGCATAGATGTGAATTATGGAGAATTGATCAATACCAGTATCCATGAGTGTGCCCACCGGACACGTGGTAAGCTTTATCACCCACGCTTGGTCACTTCTTTATGCTTGCGACAAGGTGTACAGCTCCCTGAGGATCAAATTAAGAGAGATGCCCCAATTGTGGAAGAGAAGAATATTCGGAGAATTATCGCCCATGCGCTACAAAKAAGGGAAGGTACTGGGACGTCTCCTACATCGGAGATCCGTCGTCTTCGAGAGGAGAACCAACAGCTGCGAGATCAGGTTCGAGAAGTCGTGCAACATATATACAACTTGAGGGCTTTATTGGATTTTGCGGTTTTACCTTCATGGCCTCCAGCGCTAGCTGCTATCCTTGGTCATCCATCTTCCAGTACCGACACTGATCCTAGTCCACAACCTCCAACTTCATGAAAGGGAGGTTCCTTCTTTGCTATTTTTTGTGTTTCATTATTTTGGTTAATGACGTTGTTTGCATATTCTAGCCTTACTACGCATGTTTTTTGTATTGATTATGTTTTGAGCTCAGTTGAAGCATGTATAAATTAGTATCGTTTATCTTCTGATCACTTAAAGTATGCCTTCACTTAACCTTAGTTTAGCTTTTCACATGCCTACTTTGAAGCATCTGTGCTGTGCATGTGATTTCATGTGAATGATGATTATAAGAGATTGTTGAGTTTTCTGTTCTATGCCTGACTAAGCTTTGAGCTATTTCCTTCGTTTATGTGATAAACCCATTTTCTTTTATGTCTTTTTGATCTTTACAGACTTTAAACTTTTTCTTTGCCTCTATATAGGAAGTCCTTGTCCTTTTTACTGTTAAGCCTTTTTCATCAGATGCAAAAGTCTTTTCCCAGTGAGGACACTGTCTCTCTTAAGTTTGGGGGGGACAGTCGTTGTGTCAGTCATTGTTTCAGAAAGATAAAGTGTTATTTATATTTGAAAAATCATGCTATTTTCTTTTGAAAAAGAGTCAGTTGGAAAGAAAGAAAATGTTGAAAAGCACTTAGCTTTAAAAATAGAAAGAAAAAAAGAAAAAAAAAGAAAAAAAAAGAGACAAAAGTTGCAAAAGAGTAAAAAGAGTCTTGTTGAGAGAAAATAAGAGTGGGGAAAATACTTGTGTTAGAAAGAAAAGAGTGGTAAAAACAATGAGAGTTAAAGAAAATGTATTTATGATTTCCGAGTCCTACTGTAGACACCCATTTAGTTTTAGGTTGGGTGTTGACTTTGAAAATAGCAATAAGAATGGTGATAAGTAACTTCGTGTTTCTCATTGTCGTTGTCTTATGACCTAGCTGTTAGTTTCAAAGTCTTTCTACGAGCAGCTGTGGTTGAAACCAATGTTAGTGTGTGGAAACCTCAGGGGCTAGTAGCCGGTCTTTCAGATGTAAAAGTTTCAAGGTAAAAAGGGAGTGTGCAGATTCCTTAGGGGTATTTGAAAACGTTTTCTGTTTTTGAAAGGAAAAAAGATTTTGAAAGAGAAAGTTTTTATCATTTCAAACTTGGTTTATAGTAACTAAGCTTACAAAGGCAATAGAATGGTAGGCTTTCACATCTTTTCCCTGAGACAATTTATGATTGAACATCTCGGTTGCTTTTGCTTTACCTTGTCCATGTGTTAGAAAGCTGATTAAAGTTGCTAAGTTTTGCTCGAGGACAAGCAAAAAGTTAAGTTTGGGGGTGTGATTACGCTAGTTTACATGCGTAAAAAGAAGGTTTTATATGCTGTTTTTACTATGTTTTAACTTTGTT